AGTCCGTTGAAGAAGAATCATAACTGGTTAATGGCACAGGCAGACGCGGCGACGGGGGCGGTGCCGTGTCAGGGACTGGAATGTGGGTGTGCCGTCCCCAACCTCGTGCCGCGGGAGGAGGAGGGACACACAGACATTTCAGGCGAGCCCTGTCCTTCTGGGAGGCGCTCCGGCCCCGGCTCATGGTGTCGATGTTTCTCTCTCTCTCTCTCTCTCTCAAATCAATCAAACAATCAATCAAAATTCATTGGAGCCGGCCCATGTGCCAGGAGGTCACGGTTTGATTCCCGGTCAGGGCACATGCGGGGGTTGCGGGCTCGGTCCCCAGTGTGGGGCGTGCAAGAGGCAGCCGATCCGTGATTCTCTCTCATCATTGATGTTTCTCTCTCTCTCCCTCTCCCTTCCTCCCTGAAATAAATAGAAATATATTAAAAAGAAGAGAGAAGATGCCAATGGTATCCTTTCATTCACTCCATTTGCACATGCATGTTCGCATCGATGCGTCAACCCACGAATGTGTTACCTTTCTAACCCCCTCAGCCATCACTCTCCCCCTCACCCGCCCACTCACGTGTGGCTGTGCATCCGCTCAGCCCTTCACCGCTGCGCTCACCTGTGCGTTTGTTCGTTCGTGCATTTGTTTCATTCATTCGCAAACAAAACACTTTGAAAGCAACTGAAGCCTCTGGAGAAACGTGGCAGAGTGACCACCACCCAGGTCACCGGGCGCGGCCACCTGCAGGTGGACAAGCACGTGTGAGAGGTGCAGGCCCTGCCCGTCTACTGTGACCGTGGGATCCCAGTGTCACGTGGGTGCCGGGTCTTGAGGCCTCCCCCCCAGGCTTTCCCCGGGTTTGACTGAGCTTTCGTGGGGTGCCCTGGACCTCTTGTGACCCTGAGCCACCCTTGGGCTCCCCTAGAACGAGAGAACCCTGAGGATCCCCCGGGGAAGCAGTCGATGGTCAAGTGTGGGCACCAGGGCTGTGGTGTGCCAGGTGGGAGAGAGCGGCTGTTGTCTTAGTGACGACTACGTGGCTGGCGTGGCAGGCGTGGCGTGGGCAGGACATGCAGTGGCGGGCACAGTGGGAATAAAAATCTGCCAAGGGTCACGCAGGCCTAGCGCGTCCTTCTCTTCTCCCGCGGAGGAGTGTCTGCCGGTTCCTGCGTCTGAACATCACACTGTCCCTGAAAGACGGGCGGGGCGGGTGCTGTGGTGTGTGTTTCACTCGTTGAGACTCTGTATCCGAAAGCACGGAAACCTGCCCTGGCCGGTGTGGCTCAGTGGGTAGAGTGTCGGCCCGTGGACCAAAGGGTCCTGGGTTCGATTCCAGTCAAGGGCATGGACCTCAGTTGCAGGTTCCTCCTCAGCCCGGGCCCTGGTTGGGGCGCGTGCAGGAGGCAACCAGTCGATGTGTTTATCTCACATCGATGTTTCTCTCTGTCTTTCCCTCTCTCTTCCACCCTCTCTCTCTAAAGATTAATGGAAAAAATATCCTCAGGTGAGGATTAAAAACAAACAAACAAACAAACAAACAAACAAAAAACCCCAAAGCGTAGACTGTTCATTTATTTATATTTGTTAATCCTCACTCGAGGATATTTTTCCATTGATTTTTAGAGAGAGTGGAATAGAGAGGGAGAGACAGAGAGAAACATTGGTGTGAGAGCAACACATCGATGGGTTGCCTCCTGCACGCGCCCTGACCAGGGCCCAGGCCGGGGAGGAGCCTACAACCGAGGTCTGTGCCCTTGACCACAATTGAACCCGGGACCTTTCAGTCCACAGGCCGACTCTGTATCCACTGAGCCACACCGGCCAGGGCTGTGCTGACCATGGAGAAAGTGTCCGCTGCAAGGAGCCTTTCGGTGCGCAGCCCGTGTCACCTGTCCACTCATGCAGGCGGGCGGCACCTGCTGGCTCCGGGGTCCAGCCTGTGCCACACCAGGAAGGCGGCCCGGTGGCCAGCTGGGAGCTCATCCTGCCCCATTCAGGCTGTAGGCGACCCCTGGGGGCCTGCCTCCCCCCAGGATTCATGAAGCCTTCGCCCAAGGAACCACCTTACCTGTGGGTCAGAGCCCCGCCCACATTGAGGCTCAGCTCATGGCCAATCACAAGAGTTCTTACCCGGTTGCCTAGGTAACCGGAGGGGACCCTGGAAGAGGACCACGGGACGGGAAGACACACAGGCACACGGAGTGGTCCCGGGCGCTCATCCTCCGTCCCCATCGCCCCGTCCAGGCCCTCGCCACCCCACTGCCCAACTGGCCTTTGGCTTGTTGCTTTACTTGATTGAACATACACAGCCACGAGCACGCAGGGCAGCCAGCAGAGCGGCCGGGATACTGTTCCTTTCTCTTCTGGTTTATTTGTGAAGGAATCTACCGTATAAATCACTCGAAGCCACCAAGACAGAAAGGGAAATGTCATGTTCGAATGGAGGGTTCAGGGCGCGCTCCCATGACCATCCAGAACACGTGGCCGGTTGGTGGCCCTTCCTGG